AGGCACAAAAAATATATATGGCTACAAACAAGTACCTTTCAATAATAACTTTAAATGTAAATGGACTAAATGCTCCAATCAAAAGACATTGTGTGGCTGAATGGATAAAACAACATGACCCATATATTTGCTGTCTATAAGAGACCCACCTCATTAGAAGGGACTCACACGAACGGAAAGTGAAGGGATGGAAAAATATCTTTCAGGCAAATGGAAATGAAAAAAAAGCTGGGGTAGCAATACTTATATCAGAAAAAATAGACATCAAAGTGAAGGCCATAACAAGAGATAAGGAAGGCCACTTCATAATACTAAGGGGATCAATACAACAAGAAGATATAACCCTGATAAACATATATGCACCCAATGCAGGAGCACCCAAATACATAAATAAAACTCCTGGAAGATATCAAGGGAGAGATCGACAACAATACAACCTTAGTAGGGGACTTTAATACACCACTGACATCACTGGATAAATCCTCTAGACAAACAATCAGCAAAGAAACAGCAATCCTAAATGACTCACTAGATCAGATGGACTTAATTGACATCTTCAGAACATTTCACCCCAAAGCCACGGAATATACGTTCTTCTCAAGTGCACATGGGACATTTTCAAAAATAGACCACATATTGGGTCACAAGCAAAGTCTCCCCAAATTCAAGAAGATTGAAATCATACCAAGCATCTTCTCAGATCACAATGGCATAATATTAGAAATAAACTACAATAAAAACAACCCAAAATACTCAAACACTTGGAAGCTAAATAGCATGTTATTAAATATTGATTGGGTTACCAATGAGATCAAAGAAGAAATTAAAAACATCCTGGAAACTAATAACAATGAAAACACAACAATCCAAAACCTATGGGACACAATGAAAGCAGATCTGAAAGGGAAGTTTATAGCCCTACAGGCCTACCTCAAAAAACACACACAAAAAAATGGTAGTAAATCATCTAACTCTACATCTCAAGGAATTAGAAAGAGAGCAACAAGAAAAGCCCAGAGTGAGCAGAAGGAAGTATAAAATAAAGATCAGAGCTGAAATAAATGACATAGAGACCAAAAAAACAATACATAAAAATCAACGAAACCAAGAGCTGGTTCTTTGAAAGGATAAACAAGATTGATGAACCTCTAGCCAGGCTCACCAAGAAGCAAAGAGAGAGGACCCAAATAAACAAAATCAGAAATGATAGAGGTGAAATAACAACAGACCCCACAGAAATACAAATGATTGTTAAAAAATACTATGAACAGCTCTACTCCAACAAACTAGACAGCCTGGAGGAAATGGACATATTCCTAGAAAAATACAACATTCCAAAACTCAATCAGGAAGAATCTAAAAATCTCAATAGGCCAATAACTATGGAAGAAATTGAAGCAGTCATCAAAAAGCTTCCAGCAAACAAAAGCCCAGGACCAGACGGCTTCACAGGGGAGTTTTACCAAACATTCAAGGAAGAACTAAAACCTATCCTCCTCAGACTACTACAAAAAATCCAAGAGGAAGGAACACTTCCAAGCTCATTCTATGAAGCCAGCATCACCCTAATACCAAAACCAGGTAAAGACAACACAATGAAAGAGAATTACAGGCCAATATCCCTCATGAACATAGATGCCAAAATCCTCAACAAAATCTTAGCAAATCGGATCCAGCAGTACATGAAAGATCATACACCATGACCAAGTAAGATTTATCCCAGGGATTCAAGGATGGTACAATATCCGAAAAATCAATAAATGTGATACATCACATAAACAAATTGAAAGAAAAAAACCACATGGTCATATCAATTGATGCAGAAAAAGCATTTGACAAAATCCAACACCCATTTCTGATAAAAACTCTCAGCAAGGTGGGAATAAAAGGATCATACCTCAACATAATAAAAGCCGTATATGACGAACCCACAGCCAACATCATACTCAATGGACAAAAACTAAAACCATTTCCCCTAAGAACAGGAACAAGACAGGGATGCCCACTCTCACCACTCCTGTTCGACATAGTACTGGAAGTATTAGCCATTGCAATTAGACAAGAAGAAGAAATAAAAGGCATCCAAATTGGAAAAGAAGTAAAACTGTCCTTATTCGCAGATGACATGATATTATACATACAAAACTCTAAAGACTCCATCAAAAAACTATTAGACTTAATAAATGAATTTGGCAATGTAGCAGGATACAAAACTAATGCCAAGAAATCTGAGGCATTTCTATACACCAACAGTGAACTTACAGAAAGAGAGACTAAAAAAGCAATCCCATTTACCATCGCACCAAAAAAATGAAGCTACCTAGGAATAAACTTAACTAAAGAGGTTAAAGACCTCTACTCAGAAAACTACAGGACGCTGAAAAAAGAGATAGAGGAAGACATAAACAGATGGAAGAACATACCATGTTCTTGGATTGGTAGAATCAACATCATTAAAATGTCCATACTACCCAAAGCAATCTAGAAATTCAACGCACTTCCCATTAAAATACCAACTGCATATTTCACAGATCTACAACGAACTCTCCAAAAATTCATCTGGAATAAAAAAAGACCCCGAATAGCTGCAGCAATCCTGAGAAAGAAGAACAAAGTAGGTGGGATCTCAATACCAGATATCAAGCTGTATTACAAAGCCACTGTTCTCAAAACTGCCTGGTACTGGCACAAGAACAGACATATAGATCAATGGAATAGAATAGAGAGCCCAGAAATCGACCCAAACCAATATGCTCAATATTTGACAAAGGAGGCAAGAACATACAATGGAGTCAAGACAGTCTCTTCAATAAATGGTGTTGGGAAAATTGGACAGATACATGCAAAAAAATGAAACTGGACCACCAACTTACACCATACACAAAAATAAACTCAAAATGGAAAGGACTTAAATGTAAGACAGGAAACAATAAAAATACTAGAGGAATCCAAAGGCAACAAAATCTCAGACATATGCCAAAGCAATTTCTTCACTGATACAGCTCCTAGGGCATTGGAAACTAAAGAGAAAATGAACAAATGGGACTACATCAAAATAAAAAGCTTCTGCACAGCAAAAGAAACCATCAACAAAACAACAAGAAAGCCCACTGCATGGGAGAACATATTTGCCAATGTTATCACTGATAAGGGTTTAATCTCCAACATTTATAGGGAACTCATACAACTTAACAAAAGGATGATAAACAATCCAATCAAAAATGGGCAAAGGACCTAAATAGACACTTTTCAAAAGAGGACATTCAGAAAGCCAACAGACATATGAAAACATGCTCAACGTCACTAATCATCCAAGAGATGCAAATCAAAACAACAATGAGGTACCATCTCACACCTGTCAGAATGGCTATCATCAACAAACGACAAGTGCTGGAGAGGATGTGGAGAAAAAGGAACACTCGTGCACTGCTGGTGGGAATGCAGACTGGTGCAGCCACTATGGAAGACAGTATGGAGTTTCCTCAAAAAGTTAAAAATTGAACTCCCCTTTGACCCACTGATCCCACTTCTAGGAATATATCCCAAGAAATCAGAAACACCAATCAGAAAGGATATATGCACCCCTATGTTCATAGCAGCACAATTTACCATAGCTAAGATCTGGAAACAGCCCAAGTGCCCATCAGCAAATGACTGGATTAGAAAACTGTGGTACATCTACACGATGGAATACTATGCTGCTGTAAAAAAGAAGGAATTCTTACCATTTGCGACAGCGTGGATGGAACTGGAGAGCATTATGCTAAGTGAAATAAGCCAGTCAATGAAAGAAAAATACCACATGATCTCACTCATTTATGGGTAATTAAGACCATTATAAACTGATGAGCAAAAATAGATACAGAGGCAGAGCAACATTGAACAGACTGTCAAACTACAGCGGGAAGGCTGGGGAGGGTTGGGGGCGGGGTAAGAGATCAACTGAAGGACTTGTATGCATATGAGCATAACCAATGGACTCAAGACACTGCAGGGCATGGGAGGCTAGGGGAGGGTCAAGGGGAGAAAAAAAAGGAGACATATATAATACTCTTTGTAATACTTTAAGCAATAAAACAATTAAAAAAAATGAACCCATAGAAGTGTGGGTGAAATGTATATTTTTAAGGGTTAATCTTAAAAATTAGTTTATTTCATGGTATCATACAGGATGTATGTATGATTGAGTTTGGTTACCAAAAGACTCACACTTTTGCTTTCTGGAAAAGAATAGCCTATGAAAAAATTTCTAGTAAAGTTTTTAGTTGCCCCATTCTTTAAAACTACTTGCACCAACATTTAAACTATCATTAAAAGTTAAAATATAATTTTCTATCAAACTGCTAAATAATCCTTAATTACAATGCTTATTTGAGAGAAAAATGTTAATTAAGGTGCAATTCTTGTATACGGTGGTATTATTCCACATTGTATATAAGCCATCTGGACTATTTTAAAAGCATACCTTAACTATTCAAAAAGATTTGTTCACTGTTATGCCCTTATGGATTAAATATATATATATTTTTTAATTTCCTTTAAACCCTGTTTAATATAGTTGTGTGGTTTTTTTTGTAAAAATGTTATTTTCATGATTTTGACCCTGGTTCCAGTTCTTTTCATGTATTTTTGTATCAATATTAATATACTGGCTACCAGTTCTATCTTGGAAATTCTTCACTGTGACAGCAAGTCCAGCGGAAACCACTGCTGTGCAAGCAGATCCTCCAAGGTGCAGCTTTCCGGAAGCACATGTTGCTGATTGTTTCACTGTCTGAATAGTCTTTATAATGACTCTTGATGAAAGCCTCTTCGACCTTGTAAACATCAGTGTGCACAGTCTCGCTACGTGGCAGGAGGCTGGTTCACGGCGCGTGAGGAGCGAGTCTAGTCTTACTGGCTGAGAACCCTCACTTCCCGCAGGAGGGAGCACTGTCCCTTTTTTGCTATGTAAGAATGTGGCAGAAATGTATGCTGAGGTAGCCCAGTCAACCCTTATCTTTTTCTTGTGTAAATTTGGTCTCAGAATATTTCTGGAAGGGTGACGTTGTGGAGAAGCCACTGCTGGGACTGGCCTCCGCTGCAGTCTCTGATGCTGGGCACCTGGCTGTCCTCCTCCGTGGCTTTATCCAGGCACTGGTTACTGTTCACATGCTGCAGGGTCAATTTCACGGGATCATACTCCCAAAGTTGGTTGCCTTTTAGGTGGTGGCATTTGAGCATTGTGACTGGGCCGTTGAGTTTGGAGACATCCAAGCAAAGGTCGTCCGTCCTAATTTCTTTTTGGCATTGTAAGAGAAAACCTGATTACCTCCCATACCGTGACAGTTAAAGATTCCAACTTTTTCATTCTCTTTTCTAGCCATGTTATCGAGACACTGATTTGTTTCTACATTGCGTATCTCTCCCAAAGAGAAATAGTGACGTGGAATCTGCGAATCAGGATAAATAGTCTCTAGGTACCAAGAGAAAGGTTTGCATTGGAGTTTGTGTCTTAGACCAAGTCTTGATGCTATATCTCCATAATCTACCTTTGTAACACCTGGAGAAATTATATAGAAGAAATTCTTGAATTCATCCATCCACACTTCTGAGAGGCGTCTGTTATTTTTGTTGATAATCTGTCCTGTGCCTCCCGGAAACGTGTAAGGTGTAGCTTTCCGAAACACGTGTCCAACATGTGAGCAAGTAATGATCTCCAGGGTGCCTCCACATTGCCAAATCCTAAAGGAAATTTCTAGGTTTTCTCCTCCCCAGATATCCATTCCAGCATCGTATGTTCCAATCTCCTGAAAGTGATCTCTATTGAAAACAGGCCTCCGGCCATGGTAGGCGTTCTGACAGGAAGAGTCCGGTCACCTTTCCTTCTGTCCATTTCTCTTTGGGGAACAGGGTACCAGCGAAAATTGAGCTTCCAATTGAATCCCCCATAGGTCATATCAGAACCCGCCACGTACTCAAAAGTATCATCACTGATCACATCGATGATGGGACACACCACTGTTTTCCTGTCCTGTTTGATCATGGCTAAGAGAGGCTCCAGCCACCCCACTGTGCACTCACAGTGAGCGTTTAAGAATGTGATCACTTGGCCTTTGGACACAGCGGCTCCTTTTAACCTGGCTCTGATCAATCCAGAACGTTTTTCCATTCGAATTACATGAACTGGTACTTTTAATTTTTTCACATAACTCTCCAGAGGTCTTTTTAAAAAGTCTCTTTCACTGGCATCATCTACTAGAACAATTTCTTCCAGCATGTGTCTTGGGGAGTGATTTATGACACTATGGACAGTTCGAAGAAGTGTGCTCCAGGCCTCATTGTGGAAAACAATCACCACACTTGTTGTAGGAACTTTCATCTTTTCTTGATCCTCTTTAGGAATGACGACTGGTTTCCCCATTTCTCCAGGACCTTCATGAGGCTTTTGTACTGGCTCTAAAACATCCCCAGCAGGAAGTCCTCTCTCCTTTTTTTCATCACATTTGTTGCATTCACTGAAGTAAAGCAGCAGGAACATATCCAAGAGTACCCAAATCAAGGAGGTGGCTAGGACCACCTTGCAATATGCAAATTTTCTCATGGCACTTTAAGTCAAATGCAAAATTTTAAAATACATATATATAAATGTACAAAGATCATGAAAATGTTTCCAATCCAGTTTCATCAAAAATCACGTTCATAACCTCGGTCCGCGCGGCGGCGGCGCGGGCGCTCCTCAGGGCCAGCCCAGGCGGTGGCGGCGCGGTCCGCGGGCCAAGCGCGGGCGCTCTTCTGGGGCCGCCGTCCGCCGCGCCGCCTCCTCGGCTACTGCCCGCGGCTCCCCGGGCGGGCGGGCGGGCGGGCCTGTCGCGGGCCCCGCCTCCCGCTCCCGCCCCCGCGCCGGCCTCGCGGGCTGGACGCACTACTCCGGGTCGAGCCATATGCGGTCGCAGCCGCCGCCACTCACATATATATTTTTTTACATCATTTATATCACTTTAGTACAAGCATCAAAATATATTCAATAATAATGGATCAATGTGTGTTTTTTCCTATTGCTGTTTTATAATTGCTATTGCCACAAGCAAAATATATAAAATAGTTAAATGAAAATACGAATATATTCTGGACTTCAAAAAAGACAACATTTAAATTTTGCCATGCTAGGGAGAAGCATTATATACTATGCTCCATAAACTTCAAAAATGTCTCTAAACCTAAACAGCAATTAAGAACAGTTCTTTTGAACCTTAGAAGGGTGTATTCAATGGATTTGCTTAAGATCAAGGCATAGCATTTTAAGGCTAAACTCAAAGGCCTACTTCTTCCAGTACTGAGACATGAAACTCTGAGAGAATAATAAACTCTTATGAGCCATTGCTTTTCAGCTCATAATTCTGAAGTGACATTCATCAAGTCAACAAAATAAGCCTGAAAACCCTAACACAGAGAAGGTTGGGCTCTTATTAGACAAGTAAACCCTAACTAAAGTAACCTCAGGAAATGCCCTAATATGAATCACAGCATAATACCTACAACAATAAAGGTTGCTCACGTTACCGGTAAACTCGTACAACCTGAAAGCTCCCATCTAATATCACATTGTTCCAAGTCAATACTATCTAGCCCTTGCCAGAATTTGAGCACTGTAAATGCTTTTGTTTAAATCACACTTCTCTCCAAAAAGAAACTGAAGTAACAAATTTTATTGCCATAATTCTGATAACAAAAGCAGGAAATAAACTGAGGAAGGGAGGATTTTTGTTTACTATTAGAACAACTGTTATTGTTGTCCTTGAGTTTGAAATTTGGCTTTCAGCTTTTAAATAACCAAGGCAAAACAAAAATGGGAACAATCAGTGATAATTTTAATACTGGAAAGAGAAAGGCACAGCAAGTTCTCATTAGAGATAAAGTTTTCCTGATGCTGCATTCTAAAATAAATTCTCATGTGGGTGCAGCTTTACATATAAGACAACAAGCAGTGTAGTAGACAATCTCCTCAACTACATTTGTTATCATAGTATTTAGTTAGTCCTTTACATACCATTTCTTTTAATACTCATAGCAAACTAAGTGAGCGGCATGCACTATAATTATTCTAGTTTTATAAACGATGAAGCTGAAGCTTACAAAAGCTAAGTTATAGTAATATTAGAGACTATGAAGTTGTCCATGAGATGGGAAGGACAGAGAGTCAGCAACTATTAATCACACCATGTACTTATAAATGCAGTTGTGTAAATAAATGTAAAGCCAAAACTTAATAAAGCATTCATGCTTATAAATAATTTGATCATAGGGAAAAAAAAACTATAAAGCTAAAACTTAAATAAGATGACATATACATGTAAATGATTCACTATAGAAAATTAAAATACTTGAGGTATAAAATCTAAAACTGAAAAATAGGAATTTAGAAACTCCTGTTGACATAAAGTCTGTTGAAGAAGAGATTCAATCACTAATGTTCTGGTAAAGTGTTTAATAGCTGGCTTTTGGGAGTTAGCAGGAAGATCCCTGGCTTGTAGTAACTGCCAATTTCTGTGGTGTAAATACTTCCACCATAAAGTTCAAGCTAACAATGTGACTCAACCAACTCACAAAAATTCTTTAAAAATTACCAATTTGCTCTTGTGTGTGAGCTCCAGCATATCACTGGAAGAAGTTGATATGACTCCTTCTGGTACTACCAGAACTCTTGTTCCCTTAGGTATGTCTAACAAGGATAATTTTGAGATCTCAGAACTTCAGTTGGTCTGAGCTTGTAGCCGTCTTCCTATGGGTAAAATAAAATAAAATAAAATAAAATAAAATAAAATAAAATAAAATAAAAATGTAACTCTAGCCATGAATTGTAATGACTCTAATGTTTTTTTTATATTAAGGTTAAAAATAGGTGTTTGTATTTTCTCTTTCTCCCCAAATATTGAAAATATTATGTGAATAAAATATACTTACATGCAGACATTGAGTGATCACTTCTCATGTTTCAACATGTGTGTGTAATTCCAGGCCTATGTTCTTAAGCAGTAGTTAATACGGCTTACTCAAGTAAGTGCCTGAGAAGCTGGTGTTGATTCATTGTATAATGTAAATGACTGAGACTTCTGTATGAAAACAACACACACAGAGATTTAGCTTAATGCCATCTTAAACAAAGGATTCATTGACCTTCTGGTTTCAGGTTTAAGATCATGAATACTCACCAAAGTGGTGCATTTACAAAGTCATGGTTGATTGTTATGTGAACTATCAAAAGTATATCTTTTCAGTTCCATTTCTGATTCATGTCAGATCAAGTATGGTTTAGAGTCCAGGGTTGAAACAAGACTCTAGGGTGGAATCAAATTTTCTTTCAAACATTATTCCTAGATGTTTTTTCTTTTTATGTCAATGTTCCTGGTTTTATAGGAACACTACATTCTTTTGTCATTTTAAATAAAAATCTATTCAATGCTGACCAAAATTGAGATTCTAAATAAATAACTCAAAAAACAAGTGAAGTAGCAAACAGCATTATTTAAAAAGGGAAAATTAAGTAACATGAGTGCTTAGGATTGGTAATTTTATTCATTCATTAAATTTTTATTGAGTACCTAGTAAGTGCTAGTCATTGTTCAAATTTGTTGAGATTAATCATTGTTCCTAAAGGACAAAGATCAGAAATGATAAGTGCCAGTGTAGCTGTAACAGCATGAGAAAGAGCAAGAGATGAAGGAGGCTACTTGAGAGACACAGGGGAGCCGGGACCTGGATCATGTAGTGCCTGGCAGGATATTGTAAGGGCTCAAGGCTGTTCTCTGAGGGACATGGGGAAATGTATCAGGTTCTTTTTAGTAGCCCAGGCAAGAAGAAATGGTGGCCAGACCAGGGTAGTAGCAGTAGAAAAGCGGTCTGATTCTGGATATATTTTGAAGGTTGAGCCAATAAAAATTGCTGATGAATTGATATGAAATGTCAGAGAGTCAGTTATATCTAGAATACCTGGGAGGACAGAGTTGTCATTCACAGAGGCGGGGAAAGCTGTGGGCAGAGCAGGCGACAAGGAGGGATTAGGGAAGATCAGAAATTCAGCACTGTCAGACACGTTTCGTATGAGATGTCTATTACATACCCCAGTGGAGATGACAAGTAGGAGGCTGGACGTATGCAACTGGAGTCCAAGGGAGAAGTAAGGGATGGAAAGATACACTTGGAGGTCATCAGCATGTGGTTGGTATGAGACTGTATGAGGTCCCCAAAGAGGACATAGAAAGAAAAGAGGGTTAAAGACTGAGCTCTGGGGCACTCCAATGTTATCAGGCTTGGAGAAGTGGCATCCAGTGAAAGAAGAAAGCTAAGTGTGAGGATGGAGTCCCAGGAACCAAATAAAGAAAGTGTATCAAGGAGGAGGACGTGGTCAGCTGTGTCAATGCTGCTAACTAGTTGTACATACATGTAGGGACCAAAAGCCACCATTGGGTTTAGCATCATGGAGGTTATTGGTGGCCTGGACCATAGGCAAGTTGATGAGTCGGTAGTGTGACAAAAGTCTGACTGCAGTGGCTTGAAGAGGAAATGGGAGAAGAATTGGAAACTACAATAAATGATAATTCTATGAAGGAGTTTGGGTGCAAAGGAGAGTGATGAAATAGGGCATTAGCTGGTGGAGAAAATAAAATCAAGAGAAGTTTTTCTTAAATGGTAGAGATTGACAGGATGTCTCCAAATTTTATTTACATAGCTCCATGTACTCCAATCTTTGCACTTTTATTATACTGTTTACATGTCTCCCTCCCCCAATAAGCTGCGAGTTTCTGAGGACAGGAACCTGTTTTATTTGACTCTATAGGCTAACCCAGAGGTCAGCAAACTCATTAGTCAACAGAGCCAAATAACAACAGTACAACAATTGAAATTTCTTTTGAGAGCCAAATTTTTTAAACTTAAACTATATAGGTAGGTACATTGTTATTAACTTAATTAGGGCACTCCTAAGGCTTAGGAAGAGCCACATTCAAAAGGCCAAAGAGTCGCATTTGACTCACGAGCCACAGTTTGCCTACCACAGGGCTAACCCAATATATTGGTTTTCTATCTCTGCTGCAACACATTGGCACAAATTTAGTGGCTTAAAACAACACAGCTCTGTAAATTAGAAATCTGACACAGGTCACTGGGCTAAAATTAAAGTGTCAGCAGAATGTCTGTTTCTTTGCTTTTTCCAGCTTAGAAGCTGCCTACATTTCTTGGCTTGTGGCCCCTTCCTCCATCTTCAAAGCCAGCACCACTGCAACTCTCTGACCTTGCTCCCATAGTCACATCTCCCTCTGACTCAGAAATCAACTGGGAAAGGTTATCTGGTTGTAAGAAGGTATGTAATTAGATCGGTCCTCCCAGACTATCCAGGACAACATCTCCATTTCAGGATCCTTAATTTAATCATATCTGCAAAGATCCTTTTGCTATGTAAGGTAATGTATTCACAGATTCTGAGGACTAAGATGTGGACATCTGTTCAGGTCATTATTCTGCCTATCACATCCAGTGACTGACATGTAGATGAATAAGCATTAAGAATATAAAACTTTTGCATTTTTCCTATCGATATTTATTATACTGCATTATAAAGGTCTGAATACCCTAAAAGACTTTTTCTGAGAGTAGAAACTGTTTCACTTTTGCTCTTCACCCTCTGAGCACTTAGCCCAGGGCATGTAGTAGGTGCTTAAGGAATATTTGTTGAATGAGACTGAATGAATTAATGAATAAATAAATGAATATACCCATTCTTTCAAGTGAGCTGCTATAGGAGAAATCTCTTCTTTAGGAACAACAGATGAT